GGGGCAATGAAAGTGCTGCCAAGGGACGGTGAGGACAAGCCACAGCTTTGTGTTCTGGCACCTTCAGTGTGGGAGCGATTGCTGGACACCAGATGTTTTTCACCCGGCCCCGGGAGAATGAAATAAGGTGTTTTTGAGGATTAAGTTGCCAGGAAAACAAGGGGCCCCAGGGTATCCTGAAAAGTGGCTGTAGTGCAACTAAAGCTACCAGTGAGTCAAAAAAATGCAAAGCTCTAGTGGCCTGTATCAACAACTGTACCACAAATGATGCCAAATAATACTTTTTCATCCACTCGGCTGTAGTCTTTGAAAACCTCCAGGAAAGAAGAAAGCATTTGATTCCTACCCAGCTTTATTTGAAAGGGCCTTTTCCTTTCTCAGCAGAAGGTCAACTGCCACGATTTCTCCATGGTCGCCCTTTTTTCTGCGGCCACAGTACAGGACAGATGGAAAGGATCCAGAGTGCTCTGTGAATATGAGGTATGTCTCTGATGTGCATCCATGTTTTTCTTAAGGTAGTGTGGAATTTGAAGTTAACATAAATAAGGTCTGTTCTGGAGCATATTATGGCCGTGCAAAGCTTACTTCCCTCTTACTTTTCTTAAAAGCATAATCTTCTTCCCCCTTATGACCACAGACTCTGGTCAGGGAGCTTATTCTGCCCTGGGGGTTCTCTGGGGTCAGACGTGTGCTGGGCCCACAGTTGACTGCAGGTTTGGGACTGGCTCAGCTGTTTGGGCAGGTGTGTTTTGGCATTTAGAGGAGCAGAGTTAAAAGCTTGAGCTAAGACCTTCAGGACCAGTTAAGGTTCAGCGGTAGATGTAGGAGAAAGTGGACTTCTATGTTGCTTTTTTTTTTTTTTCCCCCCAGGTCAATAATTTTTCTAATGAGTGTTCAGATGTGGCAAGATGGTTAATTACTATGCTTTTATTCCAGATGCACTATATTTTCCAGAAATTCCTGACTTTATTGCGGATGGAATTTTGGTTTTTTCACCAGTTTTGCTGTGTACTGTGTAAGTTGCTGATATCATTTCTCTTAAAAAGGCTGATGGTGAGATTATCTAGCAGGGTTGAGCATCTTGTATGCTCCTGTATATAGAGTTTTAGCATTTCTCAAGAAAGTTGCATGGATGTAGTGTCTTTCGGGGTATGGGCCTTTCCGCATTGTCCACGGTGTCCCTAGAGCTTTTGCAGGTTGTGGCAGCCCCTCACAGATTGTGTCAGGGCATCGCTTATTTTGTGGGTCTGTACAAGAGTCCGGAGTCCGTGGGAAGGCAGAAGATGGGAGGTGCCCACAGAATACAGGACACAGCTGGAAAGAGCATGAATTAAGGAATAGGGCTGAGTATGGCTTGAAGGTCTGCTTGACACAACTAAGCTGCGTTTAGCATAAACAATGAGTTAGAAAATACTGTGAGTCTTTGTTTTTCTAACTTGGCTAAATGTAAACAGGGGCCTAAACATGTATGCAAGTAGCAATTGTATAGGTCAGCACCTTGTTATCTTTCAAGAGGAACTTATCTCTGAAAACAGGACGTGTCAAGGTCATCAAAGCATGCAGAGCCAGCCTAAACCAGCCTTGTAGCTTTGTCAGCAAGAATAGAGAAGCAGATGACTGCAGTTCACCAAAAGAACACAGTGGTGAAGAGGAATGGATAAAGTAAACGATCACCAGAGGTCTTTGAAGACCACCAAGAGACTGAAATACGCATATGGGAGTGGGTGGCAACGTATGATAATGAGTTCTTAGACGAATAATGAATATGTATGTTTAACTTTTATATAAGCTGTGTAACTAATCACTTTCGGCACGCACATTTGAAGGAGCGATCCCCTGTGCATCCAGCGCTGCAATATAGAATATCTGCTTAATAGTCATCCTGACTATTGAGTTCTGTTTTTGGCTTTCGTGGCATCAAGCAGCTCCCGAGGAGTAGCTACTGCAGGGGATTCAGGGTTGCGAGTACAGGACAGGAGCTGTTGGGAAGAAGTGGGGTTCCTTCCCTGAGAGTTCAGGAGAAGAGAAGGGGTTTCTAAAGCTTTGGGACTGGGGGATGACTAGGAAAGGATGGCAGGTTCATCAATCTTTATTGTATCAGTTTTGCGTTTGGGTGTTGATGAGGTCTGGTGTGTTCTAGTCTCTTGCCTTTGAGGTGAGTCAGGTAGTATTGGGCACAACGGTAATTTTATTTCTTGGCATCTTAGGTGCTAAAAGCAATGACCGCCACAGGATCCTGTTTTGGAATCTGCATGGAGCTGGTGAGTGGAGAGCTAACGGTGCTTTTGAAGAGGGGGTTTTGTGGAAGAGGTTGGTGTTGATGGGTGCGATGCTGGCTGCTGACACTGTTTTGTGCACTGTGTGTTTTTGTTGCAGATGGTGACTAGGACCCCGGTGACTACAGGAACGTCCCAGCTAGCGGATGGGGGTCGGTGGTTTTGTGTTGAGGACAGATGCAGGCCCCTAGCCCTGTGAAAGCTAAGTGGAGGGACCAGGGCTGGGGAGGGATTGGGAGGAGGAGGGGACAACTTGGCAATTGTAGGAGGGGTTTTGAAGTTGTGTGGTATTAGAAAGAACATGTGCCTGGTGGCTCTGAGTATACATGGCAGCTCAGTGAAGTGTTTCTGGTTTTGCAGGCTGTGTGGGCTGCCTTTTGAAATGGGTGAGTGTTTGAGGTGAGCTGGGTAATGGAGAGGAGGCACACTGGGCTGGTGATTTCTTGCACATTCAATGGTATTTTTGTGTCTCTTGGTTTCTTAGGTACCACAAACAGATTGGCTCTGGAATCCATGCAGAGATTTCTGCCTGGCTTTCAGGGGCACGTTTCCCTGGCAGTCTGGTAGCATCTCTCTGGTGCAGTGCTGCCAGCCAGATGTCCCTCTCCCTTGGGTAGGACAGGAAAAAGCCCCCGGTCAAATGATGACTGGGCGTTTTGGAGACGGAGAGCACAATGGTGTCAGTTCAGAGCTGGGCCAGTTAAATTAGTGCCAAAGGAAAGTCAAACACTTTTATAGTGTATTTTTATTGACTGTATCTAAACGTACACAGAGCTTTCCAGGGAAAGGGAAGGGAGGAGGCGCTTCCCCCCCACCGGGCAGAGGGGTTTGTTACACTGTTGGGCTGAGAAGGTGTTCCAAGTGGCATCAGTCAGTCTTAATAGGGACTTGAAGCGTCGGGAGGGCTCTGGCTTTGGCAGGCTGTGCCGTCTTTGAAGCTGAGCTGTTTCCCCAGAATCATCCTGTAGCTCAGCTTCTGTCCTGTCCCTCAGTCTGAGGGAATTCCTCTACTCTCTCCTCTGTGCTGTTTTGTTTGATGCTGAACTACAGTTGGGGATTGTTGTTTTGCAGGTGCTTCGTTGTCCACGTCTCATGCTGCTTGATAGCTGCCCCAGCCTGGGTTTGCAGCCAGTGGTGGGCCTGAGGGGAAGGGACCAGCCCTGGGTCTGGGCATTTGGTGCTGTCTTTTTGCGGTGAATAAAAAGGTGGGGGGAGGGTATTTGGAGAGTGATGATGTCATTTGGGGGCCCCCAGAGTTACCGAAGGGGGCAATGATACAGCAGAGGAGCAGGTGAATTGGGGATGTGGGCAGGTGCTTCGTTGTCCACGTCTCATGCTGCTTGATAGCTGCCCCAGCCTGGGTTTGCAGCCAGTGGTGGGCCTGAGGGGAAGGGACCAGCCCTGGGTCTGGGCATTTGGTGCTGTCTTTTTGCGGTGAATAAAAAGGTGGGGGGAGGGTATTTGGAGAGTGATGATGTCATTTGGGGGCCCCCAGAGTTACCGAAGGGGGCAATGATACAGCAGAGGAGCAGGTGAATTGGGGATGTGGGGTCACATGGGGTTCCCCCCTAAAAGAGGTGGGTCATTGTGGGCTCAGTTAAAGGTCACTCCCATAGTTAAGATTTACTTGCATTTGGAGCAACAGTGTGTGCCAGTAGTGACCTTGAGAGCAGGGGAGGAGTGAGAAATACAAGTTTTGCATCCTGAAGCACATCCTGACAAAAACAGAGCACAGTCTGGGAACCAAAACCTGTCTTGATAGTAGAATAATTGTTATTGTGATAAGCTCAGTAGAAGGTAAAAAAATATTATTGTAAGTCCATGATTGGGCATTATGGGGGGAGTAGGTTTCTGTCTTGGTGTATATAAGTCTCTCTGTGTAGCAGTAAAGATGGTCAAATTGGATTTTTTGATTCGCTTACTGCATGACCTACGAGTCTGTGATTTCTTCATACGCCACAGGTCACAGCCCCAAAATGTCTGAAAAGTCGGGAGGGGGGGGATTAAAAAATAACAAAACCTGAAAATATTAGTGTGAAGTGTTGAAATAGAGAACACTCTCTCATTTATATATAGATGGGAAAATAATATTTATGTATATAAAAGGAGTTTGGAATAAAACCCTGTATCTCTAAGGATTCTATGATTCTATGTTATAAAAAAGATCTTATAAAAATGATAAAAAATATTTGTAAAAAATATTAGTGTCAAAATAGATGTCTAAACAGATAAAGTAGATATTCTACATAAGTGTTAATGTGTATGTCAATGTGTAAGTCTAAGCCCAAACAGATATTCTATTTAAGTGTAAAAAAAATACCTTTTCTCTAAGTCTGTATAGATATGTGTAAATGGATACTGAGGTGTAAATGTGCTGTAGATGGTTCTAAACTGCAAAGAAAGCCTCTTAATAGAAGGGATTTAAGAACTGGCCCTCCCCTCTAATCTCTCTTGAAGCCGTAAAAGCGCTTTCCAAAGCTGCCCCTTCCCCCATTTCCCCTCCCACTTGAGGGCCCCCGAACTGGGGACTTTCCCCCGCAGGGCTGCGTACACTGAGCAGGAGCTGCCACCATGGCACAAAAGTACCGGATTCTGGTCTGCACTGGGGTAAACCCCCAATTTTTTTGGAAAAAAAAAATATCCAAATCTAGGGCAATGGCTGTGGCCGCCTCGGCTGCGAGTGGGGACAGGGCAGAGAGCGGGAAGCCCTGCCCGCCGGTGAGTGGTTACAGTCCGTGGGTGGAGGGAAGTGGGCAGAATGCGGTCATCGCTGCTCACCCCGGTGAGGTCTCAGAAGGGGACAACAAGCGTGGGTGCTCAGCGGCCACAGGCTGGAGTTGGGGACGGGGAGCCGCACGCGGGCAGTGGTCCCGCCCCCTGCCAGGTTGGCCCCGCCTCCGGGCCACCTTTGGCCACACCTCCCGATGCCTTGTCCCTGCCCGTCGAGGTTACACCCCCCGGCCCGACGTGACCGTGCCTTCCGAGGAGCGCATGCGCGGTTCCACAAAAGCCCGGGGTTGCGCTGAGCCCGAAGGAGAAGCAGCCACCCTCCAACCCCCCGGAGACCCAATGGGCTCCCTGCCACCCGGAGCGGGTTCTGTGCTTCCCAGCCCCGGGAACGGCCGTTAGCGCTGCGGTACAGAGGGCAATCTCTGTGGTTTTTTAATCTTCCAGGGACCGGAAATTCCCCCTCGGTCCTCCAGCATATGTCTAAGGGACCGGAAGTATCCACTCAGTCCTCCGGCGTACGTCTTTATGGTTCCGCGGTCCTCCAGGAACCGGAAGTTATAACTCAGTCCTCCGGCGTACGTCTCTATGCTCCTTTGGTCCTCCAGGGACCGGAAGTTTCCCCTCAGTCCTCCGGCGTACGTCTCGATGGTGCCGCGGTCCTCCAGGGACCGGAAGTTCCCCCTCAGGGACCGGAAGTTTCCCCTCAGTCCTCCGGCGTACGTCTCGATGGTGCCGCGGTCCTCCAGGGACCGGAAGTTCCCCCTCAGGAACCGGAAGTTCCCCCTCAGTCCTCCGGCGTACATCTCGATGGTGCCGCGGTCCTCCAGGGACCGGAAGTTCCCCCTCAGGGACCGGAAGTTTCCCCTCAGTCCTCCGGCGTACATCTCGATGGTGCCGCGGTCCTCCAGGGACCGGAAGTTCCCCCTCAGGAACCGGAAGTTCCCCCTCAGTCCTCCGGCGTACATCTCGATGGTGCCGCGGTCCTCCAGGGACCGGAAGTTCCCCCTCAGGGACCGGAAGTTTCCCCTCAGTCCTCCGGCGTACATCTCGATGGTGCCGCGGTCCTCCAGGGACCGGAAGTTCCCCCTCAGGAACCGGAAGTTCCCCCTCAGTCCTCCGGCGTACATCTCGATGGTGCCGCGGTCCTCCAGGGACCGGAAGTTCCCCCTCAGGGACCGGAAGTTTCCCCTCAGTCCTCCGGCGTACATCTCGATGGTGCCGCGGTCCTCCAGGGACCGGAAGTTCCCCCTCAGGGACCGGAAGTTCCCCCTCAGTCCTCCGGCGTACATCTCTATGCTCCTTTGGTCCTCCAGGAACCGGAAGTTCCCCCTCAGTCTTCCGGCATACCTCTCTATGGTGCCGCGGTCCTCCAGCATACTGGAAAGTCTCCCTCAGTCGTCCGGAAATCCATGTTTATAGCATTTGAGGCCCCCAGAACAGCGGATGTGCCTCTCAGTCGTCCCAAAACAAATCTTTATGGCCCTGCGTTGGTCGGGGTGCGGGGTATATAAGTCACGACCCCTAGTCAGGGAGCTCATTCTGCTCCGGGGCTGCTCTGGGGTTAGAGCTGTGCTGACCCCTCAGTGAACTGCAGCTTTGGGGCTGGCTCAGCTGTGGGGGCAGGGGTGTTTGGGCATTTAGAGGAACAGAGGTAAGAAGTCTGAGGCAAGACCTTCAGGGCCAGATAAAGTTCAGTGATACATATAGGAGAAAGTAGACTTTTATGCCAGGTTTTCTTTTTTTTGTCTTCCCCCCTCCCTCCACCCCTTCCAGGTTAATAATTTTCTAATGAGTGTTCAGGTGTGGTAAGAGGGCTAATTAGTATGCTTTTACCTATTCCAGGTGCACTGTATTTTCCTGGAATTCCTGACTTTATTGAGGATGGAATTTTGGTTTTTTCCCCCAGTTTTGCTGTATCCTGTGTAAGTTGCTGATATCATTTCTCTTAAAAAGGCTGATGGTGAGATTATCTAGCAGGGGTCAGGGTGAGTCAGATCAAGTAGCTACCAGCTGGTTGCAAGGGCAGCTCTTCAGTAAGCGTTTTTTGGGATGAGCAGAGCTATGTGGGAGAGGCTCTTCAGCGGTAGTGAAGCAGGCCCCATCTCCAAGATTTTAAGGCCGCTTTGTGCAAGGCTTAATGTTTGTGAGAGCGGCAGAGATGATGTGAGATGAACTGACCATAATCCCTGCTCCCTGTCACCGGGCCTTGCTCAAGGGTAGGATGTAGAGAAGTCAGGAGTGGCAATGAGCACAGGAAAAGAGGCGGGGGGAGGCAGGAAGATGCTTTTTAGATTTTTCTTATTATCATTATTTGACAAAAAATTAAATTAATTTTCCCAAGCCGAGTCTGTTTTGCCTGTGACAGGTGAGTGATCTCTTTGTCCTTATCCCAACCTACAAGCTTTTTCACTATATTTTCTCCCTCTGCAATGTTGAGGAAGGGCAGTGATAGAGTGGCAGCAGACAGCCTAGATTAACCCCCCACAGGTTACAGTTATCAGACTCCTTGTTCCTATTCTTTAATTTTTCACTCTGTTTCTTGTACCCCATCACTTTTGATAGAATCATGCAATTGTCGGGGTTGGAAGGGACCTTTAAAGTCATCTATTCCAACCATCAACCTAACTCTGATAAAAACCATCACTAAACCATGTCCCCCAGCACCATGTCAACCTGTCTTTTGAACATCTCCAGGGATGGTGCCTCAACCACTTCACTGGGCAGCCTGTTCCAATACTTAATAACCCGTTCAGTGTAAAAATGTTTCCTAATATCCAACTTGAACCTCCCCTGGCACAACTTGAGGCCTTTTCCTCTAGTCCTATCACCTGTGACTTGGGAGAAGAGACCGATTTCCCCCCTCCAGTTACACCCTCCTTTCAGATAGTTGTAGAAAGCAATAAGGTCTCCCCTCAGCCTCCTTTACTCCAGGCTGAACAACCCCAGGCCCCTCAGCCTCTCCTCATAAGACTTGTTTTCCAGACCCCTCACCAGCATGTCCCGATGTGCACGCGCGGCTTCAAAATGGCAGTCACGCATGCGCGTGCCAACAGTTCCCAATGTGCACGCGCGGCTTCAAAAGGGTGGCCGCGCATGCGCGTACCCACACTTCCAAAAGCGCACGTGTGGCTACAAAATGGCGGCCGTGCATGCGCGTGATGATACTTGCTACTGCGCACGCGCGGCTTCAAAATGGCGGCCACGCATGGACTTACCCATGCATCCCAATGCGCCCGTGTGGCTTCAAAATGGCGGCCACGCATGGACTTACCCATGCATCCCAATGCGCCCGTGTGGCTTCAAAATGGCGGCCACGCATGGACTTACCCATGCATCCCAATGCGCCCGTGTGGCTTCAAAATGGCGGCCACGCATGGACTTACCCATGCATCCCAATGCGCCCGTGTGGCTTCAAAATGGCGGCCACGCATGGACTTACCCATGCATCCCAATGCGCCCGTGTGGCTTCAAAATGGCGGCCACGCATGGACTTACCCATGCATCCCAATGCGCCCGTGTGGCTTCAAAATGGCGGCCACGCATGGACTTACCCATGCATCCCAATGCGCCCGTGTGGCTTCAAAATGGCGGCCACGCATGGACTTACCCATGCATCCCAATGCGCCCGTGTGGCTTCAAAATGGCGGCCACGCATGGACTTACCCATGCATCCCAATGCGCCCGTGTGGCTTCAAAATGGCGGCCACGCATGCACTTACCCATGCATCCCAATGCGCACGTGTGGCTTCAAAATGGCGGCCGCACATGCGCGTGGCCACACGTCACAATGCACACGCGCGGCTTCAAAGTACAGGGCTCTGCAGGGCTCTGGTGGGTTCTGCAGGGGTTTGTTGGGCTCTGCAGAGGTTTTTAGGGGTCTGTAGGGGTTCGTATGGGTTTCGTAGGCATCTGAAGGTGTCTGCAGAGGTCTATAGTGGTTCATAGGGGTTCGATGACATCTCTAGGGGTCTGTAGGGGTCTGCAGGAGACAGCAGGGGTTCGTATGGGTCTGTAGGGCTCTGTAGGAATCTGTAGGGGTCTCTAGGCTTCTGCAGGGCTCTGCAGGGGTCAGCAGGGCTCTGTAGGGGTCTTCAGGGCTTTGAGGGCCCTGTAGGAGTCTGCAGGGTTCTGCAGGGCTTTGTGGGGGTCTGTAGCGGTCTACAGGGCTCTGTAGGGGTCTGTAGGGGTTCGTATGGCTCTACAGGGATCTGTAAGGGTCTGGTGGGTTCTGTAGGGGTTTGTTGGGGTTTGTAGGGTTCTGCAAGGTTCTGCAGGGGTCTGTAGGGTTCTGCAGGGGTCTGCAGGGGCTCCTAGGTGTACGCAGGGGTTTGTAGAGGTCTTTAGGGATCTGTAGGAATCTGAAGGGGTCTGCAGGGGTTTGTAGGGGTCTGTAAGGGTCTGCAGGGTTCTATAGGTGTCTGTATGGGCCTGCAGGAGTCTGTAGGGGTTCGTAGGGGTCTGCAGGAGTGTGCAGGGCTCTGCAGGGATCAGCAGGGCTCTGCAGGGGTCTCCAGGAGTGT